AAAGTATTATTATAATCACTTCTTTTTATCTAGCCATGATCTCAATGTTTGAGACTAAATCACATGAGAATAAGGAATGTAACAGGGAGCCTTATAACCAATCTATGTTACCCTTTTATCAGACAAAATTAAGAAACAAAAGCATTAATACTATATCTCTTCACACTTGTAAAAAAAAATGTTTAAGAACAGTTCACTGTAAAAGCATTTTCAATTTCAGAAAAACCCTTCCATAAGTTTATAATTGTTAAGACAAAGAAACCCACATCTTGACTTCTACATCTTAAATCTACTGACCCTAATATTCAAGTTCACAGATCCAGCTTTTATTTTGTTCCACCACTCAAACAGATCTCATTGATATGCACGTTATTTAACATTAACAATTTAAACATCTAAAAAAAGTAATTTCTATTTGTTTAATGCTCAAAAAATATCTAAATCTTATAATAAGAAAGTATACAAGTGCAATGTGAAAGAAAACCATTTGGTTCATTATGTTCATGCACACACACATCCAAAAACATTAAAACCAAATTAAATGTGATTAACATATTTTTACTCCAACTAAAATTTTTTATTCAGTGTCTCTGTACTCCTTGTGACAAGTTAAACATTTCCCTTTCATATAAAAAAATACCTTCTTGTTCTAATGTAATAACTTGTATATTAACATATAGACACAGATAAAGGATCCCAGCTCTCTCTTGCCCACAGCCAATCATTTAACTAAAGGTTTTACTAAATCCTCATTTCAACGCTTCTCTCTCACTGAAGCAGTAAATTGTTTACAAATTTCTAAACCCTCATGTGTGCAGCTTTAAACTTCAAATTACTTGAACTAATTTTTTAAAATTCTGGCCCAGTCATAAAGTGTCCAGCTTATTCAAAACAAAAACCTGCATACGTGTTGGTTGTTCCCAGAATCTTGTTACAAAGTATAATGACCAAATTTAGAAATACCACAGCTGAAAATGCTATTGCTGTCCAAAACATGATGAAAAATAGACTCTTTGGGATCGTACCTCTTTATCACACATTCCCAATCAGAAAAAGACCAATCAATTCAATCAACACCTTAGACTGCAGGTTAAACATGCTAAAGTAATTGTGAATAAAAAAAAACATCATTTGGTTCATGAACACCTTAAATTATTGGCTAAACATGCTAAGGTCATTGTGAATAAAAGCATCATCATGCACAGCATCACCTTTCTCAACATCTTAGACCACTGAATAAACATGTTAACATCATTGTGAATAAAAGAGAAAACATCCACTTCATCAGTTTTGCTTAACATTTTAAGTTCATTGTCAATCACAGAAGCATCATCCATAGTATCATAAGTGCAATGCAAAAAATATTTTGATTGGACAGGGGTTTGCATCATTAACTAAAAGTAACACTTTTTTTCCATTTGATTTTTTAAAAATACAATATGCAGTTTTGTCACCTAATAATGTCACATTAACATAGCAAAAAGTTGCAATATTTTAACTTTCTTTTAAAAAAATTATATTGTCGTAGATCTTGAACATTTTGATGAGTTCAAGTGCAAAGTACCCCTGCTCTACTTGGATATAAAATAGTCATGGCAGATAATATACAGATAAAAAACACCAACATGTTTCCTTGTTTAAATAATTTTATTTTTAATAACAGACTCACATTGTAAAAACTAAGTGCTATAATTTCTGTACTGATGATATGACATAACATTACAGACAAAAAAGAAATGTTTTATCCTTTATAAAGTATCACCCCTGAGAAATTTAAGTCCACCCTTAATTTATCAGGAAATCTTCTATTTCCACACTTAAACTCTTACAGGTTGCTGATCCCCATTACTTTTCAAGTCTTAAAACTTGTGTCCCCTCATTGCTATTATCTTCAGAATGCAGATCAAAGAAATCAGAGGATTTTACCCTATCAATCCCCCAAATAATCTTGTAAATTTCAATAAGATTACCTCTTATCCTTCTTTTCTCAAGAGAAACTAATGATTGTAACCTGTCCTTTTGAGATAGTCCTTCCATCCCTGATTCATCCTAATAGCCTTCCTCCGATATCCTTTGTTAGATGAGGAGATCAAAACTGAACATAGTATTCTAAGTGATGCCTAATTAGTGACTAAGTGATGCCTAATTAGTGATTTGTATAGAGATAATTACTTCTTTCATCTTGTAATCACTGTGTATACAAACATATTCTACAATTCCATTATATAATACTAGCTTTACTATTAGCAACAGGGCACTGCCTTGATGAGTTCAGTGACATATCCACCACTATGCCAAGTTCCTTTTTTTTCAGTCATACTATTTACTGGATTCCCATTTATATTTAATTTGTGATCCAAAGTAAATGGCTATTTCACACAGACTGGTCAAGAAATTATAATGGCCTTTTAAAAATTATTTACTTGTCTATGTAAACTAATTGCCTTACTCATTCATTGTTTAATTTAGAAAAAAAGTTGTAAACAATTGTATACACACCAGTAAACTTCAATACATTTTCATACCATCAATAAGGATTGAATATTTTAATTAAGACAAATTATACATTACATTATATAATGTACTGAACTTCTGGAAAATATTTTAAGACTTCTATTATTCTAAAGAGAAGGAAAATCCACAAACTATTAGAAACAATTACAACTTGTATATTTTAGAAATATTCAGAAACATAAACATGCAGAGATCTTTGAAGAAATTATATTTTCTACACATGCAAGTTGGTGAGTAATATTTTGTAGTAGTTTAATGTCTTTAAAACAAGAAGATTAAATACAACCAAATAATTTTGTTTCAATTTTCACATTTTTTTCATGTTTAGAAATAGAAGAAAATAACAGTAATACATGAATTCAGTAGAACTGGCATTTCAGCCAGCAGGTTTGTGAGCAAGGAAACACTTGAAGAGGTACTGTGGCCTCCCCACAGTTACCCGGTAACACTGTTGTCTGAGCAAGAGCTCTAACACTAACCTTTGTAATAAAGGAACTGTTGGTACAGAATACCGGTTTCCCACACACACACCAGTGTCCACATTTCAAGTAATCGATAAGGTAACAAGGTAGATCTTCAGGAGTGTAGTAAAGACGTTGCTTTACAATTACTGATGCTGAACATTCCAGCAAAGAAGGCATCAGAGAAATAAACATATCTGTATCTTTGTAATTAACACTTACAGGAACCCATGCGTTATTGTACAAGTCTAGGTTATTCAGGCGGAGCTGCATAAAGCTAGCTGGTAACAGTTTTAGAGAGTTGTTGCTCACATTAAAGTTTCTCAGGGTTTTTAGAAACCCTATTCTCTCGGGCAGTGCCTGAAGAATGTTATTACTGACAGACAGTATCTTCAGTTTTTCCATGAAACAAAGCTGTTCTGGAAGTGTTTGAAGTTGGTTGTAATTTAAACTGAGAACCTCCAAGTTCCTTGGAAATTTTACATCACACACATGCTCAAGCTTATTGTTATTCAAATTGATTTCAACAAGCCGAGTCAAATGATCCAAATTAGCAGGTAATACCTTAATAAGATTGTTGCTCAAGTCCAAGGTCTGCAAGTTGTGCAAGTTTAAGATCCGAGAGTCTACCCTACATAGGTTACACTGTTGAATTCTTAATGTAGAAAGGGAGGAAGGAAATCCTGCTCTAATAGGATAGTCTTGCCGCTTGCTTATAATCAGTCGAGTTTTGGGGTGGTTTACTTGTGATGGAGGTGCTGAAAGATGTAATTTATCCAAGTTTTTATTTCGTAGTATGCAGTATAAAGCATTAAGGAATCCTTTTAAGTGAACAGGATCAGCTTTTTTAATAATGATATCATGCTCAGGTTCTTTCAAACGAATTGTTGCCTTACCTTCCTGAATAAATTTGGTAAACACCATATCCACGTTTTTTACTATTTTATATTTCATACCTGCTGGATTTTGCGAGGTACATATAATTAAAATCACATCAGACATATTCGAAATTGAATTTACGTTTAGTTTCCGACTCAACACTAAAGTAGCTTTCATCGCTTTACCCTTTCTTTTTATATTTAGTGAAGGTACTATACGACTTAAAACTTCTATTTCAGCATTCAGTCTCATTTTAAAAAGAGTATTTATATTATTTTGAATTAAAGAAAAAAAATATTACACTACTCGAAAGTTTTCCCAATCAAGTTTGACAGAATTGCGTTGAAAATCGTTTAAATAAAGAAAAACCCGCTATCTACCTGGTGAGAGAAAACGTGACCTGAAAATAGCCAGAAATACGGAAAAAAAAATACAGAAAAAAATCTCAAAATGGTGATATCTGCAGATTCAAATATGTCACCATATATACATATGTGTGTGTGCAATATTACATTATTATCATTAGTTTAACTTCTTTAATAGTTCAAGCGTGTTATGATATAACAATATTAGATTGGAAGTTGGGTCATTTCCTGTGAACTGGCTCAATAAATTATTTTCATTTGTGTACCAAGAAACGTTATGGCAAGACAGATTTGTTATGTCAACCATAATCTTACCACGTAAGTAATATTAAACAATAAATATAATTTTTAGTATTTAGTGAGTAACTTACTGAATAGAATGATTAATTCAAAATACAATAACTTCACTTTTTACGGTAGGCAAGTTCTGATTTTAATAATTACAACGTTTCGACCCATAGTATATATATAGAGTCATCATCTAATAATGGTTCGATATTATGAGTTGAAACGTTGTAATTATCAAAATCAGAACTGCCCTAGTGAAAAAAAATGCTGTCATTGTACTTTTATATAAATTAAATTCGTTTTTGTTTTATTGGCATGATGATAATTCAGCAGTTCCTCTATAGTTTGGTCTTTCAGATAAATTATATGTAGTGTTTTGTTGTTTTTAACAATATTATAAGGCACTTTCGCTTTAGTTTTAATTGATAAATTATTTTTCTAATTTTCACTCATATTATGTATATATCGAATTACTTTTTTACAGTTTTTCTACAAGTTATTTATTCAAATATTATTTTTTATCCATGTTAAAGTATTTTATCATTACTAAATGGATTAATGCGGCTGTAATAAATATGCGTTTATTATTTATTTATAATTTGGAAACAATTACAATTCGGCTCAGTTTTCTGGATTTTTAATTTTTTAAACAGTTTATTATAAATATAGATACCCTAAACACGTGAACATTTCTGATGTTGAGGCATTTTACAGCTGTTTTGAACATATCTATGATTTTGAAGATCGTCATCCGGGTAGTCACAGTTTACAAGTTTCGACGTTTCTGTTTTTGCATCAGCTGCAGTTTGGTGTGCTTTTGTTTCTAGTAATGTGTAAAAATGATAGCTTTGTGTAACAGTTAAAAATTAATGTCTCTGTGAATAGCGTACATAAAATTGTGATTGTAAATTGCAACTTGCTCTCTTTCCCATTCAATTAAGTAAATTATTAGTAGGTTAGGGCTAGTTTAGCCCTACTTCGAAGTTCAAATTGAACTTTATATTTAATAATTGTCAGTTCGTCATAACAATTTACGTTAACGTAAATAACATTAACAATTTCTTAGTTTTGAAGTCTTGGTAGGCTAGTAGTAGTAGTAATACTCGGTATTAATTGTTTAACTTGTGCTTATTCGTTCATCAGTAGACAGTTCACTATAACTAAGTTATACTTAGAACGAGAAAGTTTTCGGTGTTTGTTCATCCGTGATATACAAGTAACCCATCATTATATTTTGAAGTTATAAAATTATTTTTAACTTTTAGTTTTAAGCTTAGAAGTTAGACTTAGGTTAGTGTCACACCAGATTTGAAGATATTTGCACGACTCTTGAAAAAGTATGGCAGCATCTCGCTCTCGGCAATCCTTGAAGTTGCAGTGCAATATTGAAGAAATTGATTGGCAAAAGCCATCACCATTATTAGAAGGTAATAATTAAATATCTATTCATCATTATTACACTTAGAGTTAGTATCATTAGCATTAATTAAGGTGGGATATTATATATTGGCAGTAGCTTTTTGTACATGATCATACTGTTTTTCCTTGATGCTATTTGTACATGACTATACTTATAATTACTAACATACATGTAAGCTGTTTGTATGTGAGATGATAACAGTGGAAAGGTTTTAATACTCAATATAGCTTGTAACTCTTATTTGGATTGCGGTTAGCTTAATTTTGCTGATAAATTAATTAACTTAGTGACTGGCAGGGATGTTAGCATAAATGTTAATTGACGAGGATGAATATTGATAATTATTGGTTTGCAAGCAACAGGATTAATCATTGTCAAACATGTTCAAAAGGTAACTTGGGGCCATTGGATTAGGTTTCATTGTTTTGCACATAGTAAGTTGTGAACTTTAAGAAAGATTGATTTGTTTGAACAATTTTTGCTGATATTCTAATATCATTAGAGAGTCCTAGAGAATTATAGCTCCCGTCCATATAAGCGTGCAACTGCAAAATTGCAGTTGTGAATATATAAGGTTGCATAATGGCTATACACCAGACAATAAATGGAAAACATTACTAATACATGCTGAATTGGCATGATATATTTCAAGGCAACCATCCTTCCACTTGTTTGAAATCAGCTTTAAAAACTAACACGGTTATTGCTAAAGCCATCAGCAACCAGTAGTAACTGTTAAAACCAGTGTGTCGGTTTAATAATTGGCTTGACCAATAGGTTTACATATGCTAGTTCTCTTTACGTTCTACTTTGATGTGACCAGTTTCATTGGATTAAGAAGCATTTACTATTTTAAAACAAACATATAAAACTTTAAAACCATTTACAATTCTGTTGAATCGATTGAAACAAGGGTATACAATATACTTGGTGTTGTGGACTACATAATGCATAAATCGAAAAATAGATATTTTTGCTCAAATTAAACTGACAGCATGTCAAAAAATGATAAATGAGGATTGTAAACAGCCTATTGGTAAGTAGACTGTTGTCCTGACAACAGTTTGCTTCACATTATGTTGTTGGGTGTGGTTACAGTGAAAGAATGTGTGCAGCAATTGTCTATAATAAAAGTAGCAGTCTTCTTTGTATTTATATATATATACGTTCAATAATTAGAAATTACAACTTTAACATAGAGAGTTATGCAATCAATATGTGTATTAACTCTTTTGCAGCACAGGCTTGGTCCGTGGGACCAACCTTGTAACCATTTTGTGGCTGTTATAGTTTTCATGCTATAACTTTTAAATTAGTAAGTGTATGTTAATGAAATATGGCAGATTATCAGTAAACATTACAATGCTTTCTTATTCCAAGTATAATTGTACAATGTTTTCCTCATACCTTTTCACATGCTGCCTATCCAATGTGCAAAGTAAATTTCATTTTAAGATAAACATACTTTTGTGCTTCATAAAATTTCCAAATTTCACATGCAAAATCTTTATAATGTCCAGATAGTTATCTAACATTTTGAAAAAAAACTTTATATTTTATATGTTATTTTCACTAATGAATCTATACAGGTTTGGTAGATTTGACTGATCTCGTAACAATCACAAAAAAATTAGAAAATAAATGTAAATTATGCCTCTTTCGTTGTAGAATGACAACAGATTATAACATGAAAACAAAAAAATTTTAGCTTAAATCTCATAACATTATACATTTATTATTTTTATTATATTGACTTTTTAGCCGTGCCTGGCTAACAATACAGAAGTTACAGTGATGCAGCACACATGCTCTCATGTTATTGTATCCAGTAATATAAAACTGACCTTTAATATTTACAAAGTGACCTTTTTTGGCTGTGTTTTAATAGACTAGTATTTTGTAAAAATACAGTCACATTTCAATTATTATACATTATATATTTATATAGATTATTACTATTTAAAAATAAGTTCTTAAACTTATTTTTCTTAAAACATAGAGTTGAAAATAAAAAAGAAAAGTGAGCTATTATCTCTGCTAGTTAAGACCTATGTACTCGGTTATTGCTTGTATGTTGCTAAACCTTTTCAAATTTCGCACGTGGTGGATATGAATTGAAATGATTTTTTTTTACATTTTATATCTACAGTTGGAAAACCAAAAAAATCATAAATTAATATATCTAGACCATAGAATTCCTATATAATTTGTTAAGCTTAGTAACTAAGTTGTATTTGGGTCTTAAAAAATATGAAATTATGAGCAGACTAAAGACACAAACTACCTCCTTGAAATCTTGTTTCAAAAGAAAGAGATGGCATTCTAACACATGAAAACCACTAGGGGAACTTTCTGAGATTTCGATTGGTTATTTACATGTCATATATTGAAGTGAGTGTATATATATAAGGGACGGTTTTCAAAATTGGAAAGAAGTGAGTGGGGCCACTGTGTTTGATTCAGTACACGACGATATCTTGGCAAATAGAAAAGATAAGAGGCTCTTATTTTATATTATAGCTTGTCAATATCAGTAATTTGTATTCCTAGTTCACACAAAACTGTAGACTTAGTATTTTGACATCACAAACATCTAATTTGAACCAGTGCTGCATTCAACATACCACATGACACACAAAAATCCATGTTTAACTGTGTTTTTTTATATTTGGTTTTAAGTTAAGAAATTGAGTAATGTATAATACTAAAATTTGAATTATAAACTACAGTTTGATACCAAACTTATTGACATAAATTCATGAAATTGTAGTTCAATAATATTTGGTACATGAGTCAACGAATGCAATGACATGGCCTATGACCCGTGACCCTTCTGGAAAGGGTTAAATGGTAATGAAGTACCTCACAAAACCGAATGTGGGCCATAACCTTAACACATTCCATGCTTATTTGTGAATAAGTATTCAAACAACTTTAGTGTAGCAAGGACAACACAGTCTTGAAATTATTTTTTTCACCTGTGCTTTAAGACTTAATATAATTATCATCAGTATACTATCCTAAAATTGAAACATGTTCATTCCATATAATGAAAGCAATAGTGAATAGGAGACAAAATGTTAGAACATAGTGTTACTAGAACACACTGGCTTGTCTATATATTAGAAGTTGTTAATCTAGCCAATTTTTACCTATAATTATTTTATGGATATGCCACCTTTGCTACTAATGTTCCTTAAATAATATCGTAGTATATCCACACTTATTTCTAATTTCATTGATAATTCATAGACAAATGCTTGTTTTCTTAGCTTTTGTATTATGATTATATCTTGGGATAACTAACACTTTAAACTTAATGATATGATTTATCAGTTACATCATGACATGACATAGAATGGGTGGAGTTTATTACTCATACATATCTGTTAATCACAGTATTTCTAGTTTTCAACAGATGTCATACAAAATTGCTCCTTTACTTTCATAAGTACCTAGGTAAGCTCATGCTTCATTTCTAACATTTGGTTGTTGAAAACTTTCATTTCGTTTATCCATATAATATGTTTCCACATGCACAAGTTTGACATTGTCAGATTTTAAAAATAATATATATATGTAAGTTCTTCTTTTTGCCAATTGTTGAAATAAATAGCTTGTAGTTAAATAGTTGTATTTCTTAATAGTATAAATATATACTATGTTGTTGTTGAGCTTAGGATTCTTCTACAGTAGGTGTCTGTGACTTTTTGGCGATAAATTCAATGATGAATAAACAGCACACACTTTACTCGTTTTCAAATACTATATATATGTATTTGGAACAAGTTAAACGTATGTACAACAAAGTCTTCACACTATAGAGATTACAGACATATCATAAACACTATTTATATATAGTTCTCTTCTTGTCAAAAGTCCACTTAGGCCTATTCAATTACTTTAGAATTTCAGTTGACAAGTTGAACTATCTTCTCTATATTACGTGTGTGATTCACTTACAGTTGTGGCGCAAGTTACCGTAATTTGTTTGGACTTCTTTCTTCTGAGGATCCTCTGTTCCTTTTGTCAAAGTGTACCCAGGCTGATTCAATTACTTTAGAACCACGCTTTGACAGAAAAAAATTATCCTTCTTATCTTTTTTTTATACTGTTAGTTTCATTCTAACATATTAAACGTTAGGCCTATCACCTTTGCGGTACTTAACTTCACACAGCTATATCTCTTTTCTTTTATCTGTCTAATACTGTCTGTCTGTCTACTGCTTCCTGCTCTTCTCATGCTATTTATATCTTTATTACATAGTCATCTGGCCACTTTCTATATTCTCGACACCAGTTAGTTATTAACAAAACCTTCCACAATCGTCTGTTTTTAACTCCTATTATAATAAAACTCAAAAACAATAAAATATTCACTCACAAATACAAATCAATCACTAATATCCAAACCAAACAGTCTTTTATATCATGACAGACATTGATCGATTTTCTTGGGACTACATTTTCTCTTGCCTTGACACGGGCGTCATGCAGTATCATGTTACCAGGTAAAGCGATAACGCACTAACATTTTGTTAACATTGTTCCAATGGGAAGGTAACGTGGAGTGAAAGGGCGATTTCTAGGTACGTTTTTAATTGTTTTTCATTAATTATGAAATAAATAATTAAACTTGCAGCATAAATCTACTAATTTGTGTCTGTGTTGTGTGTGAAATGTTTTATTTTCATTGTTTAAAAATCACTGAAACCCCCTAATATAATACATTACAACACAATATCACAACCATCATTTAAAACTTTATGCAGGTTTGTGAATGAAAATCAACTGTCGAAGTGCTGAATTGGTCAGCAGAGGGATTCAGATTTGTGAATGGAAATCAGTAATAACTGGTGAATTTATCAGAAAGATGTCAGGTTTGTGAATAATTAGAATTTATGAATTTCTCAGCAGAAGATTTCAGGTTTGTGCATGGAAATCAGTAGTAGAATTTATCAGAAGAGGGTTTCAGAATTAAAATTAATAGAACAGGTCAATAAAGGA